GAAACTATATATCACATTAAAGCCAACAAGAAACAATTTTGCACTATCTACACTGCTATCTGTTGTCTGATTGGTCACAAACAACCACATACAACACATCCTTCATATCTGTAGTTCTTTGTCCACAGGGTCCGCTAAACTAAGACAGGAAATGTTTGGGAAAAATGCATCTAGAACCACACATACAGACTTTCCCCTTGTTATTCCCAAGCAACAAAGTTTAACAGCTATTTATGTTTTATTGTGTTATATAACATCATCAGAGATGAGGAAAAGCACCTAGAAAGATGTGGGATTATATGCAAATATCCTGCACCATTTTCTATAAGAGACTTGAGCACCCTCAGATCTTGGTATCCAATGGTACCTTGGAACCAATTACTGGGTATACTCAGAGTCTATCTGTGCTTCACAGGAAAATAGGTACATATTAATTGCAGCTATTTTGGTGCTAGACACTAATGGCAATTTATGGACGCTAAGATCTTACCTTCTCCTATTACAAAGAAAAGCCTAAACATTTTTTTTTCTGATACTGGGTAATATGGTGACTCAGGAAATAAATGGAACCAATCCTGACTAGCATGGGCCAGTGAAAGATTCCATCTTATTATTCATCCAGCCCCCTCTGCAGATACAAGGATAGATGCTAGAATGGCCATAGAAAACAATCTTCATGGACACTGAAAGGGCCCTGACATAAAATGGAGCAGTATTTGGGTACCACCTACATACATTCCCCCATACATCTTAAACCATTTTCGGATTGCTACTAAACCTAGAACAGTGCAAATGGTTGTTTACATTGTATACCTTACTAAACCTAGCATAATGCAATGTTTATATTGTGTACCTTAGAGGATAATAAAGAGGAATGCATTTGCATGTGTTCAACAGGAACATTAAAAAAATAGGCTTATTTATTTAATGTGTATGCTTTCCCTGCATGTGTGTCTGAGGACCAGCGTATGACTGGTGCTCATAGTAATCAGAAGAGAGCATTAGATGGCCTAAACTGGAGTTACAGATGGTTGTAAGTCATCATATGGGTGTCCAGAACCAAACCCAGGCCTCTGTGAAGACAAGTGTTCTTAATCACTTACACATCTTTCCAGTCCCTTTCAGAACGTTATTATTATTATTTTTTAAATCCGTGGTTGGCTAAATACAAGGACGTAGAGACAATGGACCAGTGAAGCTGGCTATTGTGGAATTATAACAGACTATGAGATGGCAAGGGATGTAACTCAATTAGTAGAATGCTTGCTTAGCATGCATGATGCCTTGGGTCCCATTCCCCAAATCAATAAATCTGCTGTCCTGATTTGGCTGTGCTAAACGCCATACCCAAAAGCAAATTGGAGAGAAAGGGTTCTCTTACACGTTAGAGCCCATAACTGAGGAAAGACAAGGCAGAAACTTAAAGTAGAAACTGAAGCTGCTTACTGGCTTGCTTCCTGTTTCTGTACAGATAGGGTTTTTGTTGTTGTTGTTTTTTGTTTTGTTTTAAATACATCTCAGGTCTACTTGCCCAAGGATACCATAGTCCACATTAGGCGACCCCTGTTCTGTTATTTAGAAATCCAAAGAATATCCTCATCCTCACATCTGTAGACATGTTTACAGGTCAAACTGATGACAGCAACTTTGTGAGGTTATCTCTTCTGCTGAGGTTATCTCTTATAAGCTGTGTCAAGTTGTCAACAAAGATTCACCACCACTTCTGGCATGATGACATTTATCTGTAACCCCAATACTCAGGAGTTAAATACAGGTAGACCAGTAGTTCAAGGCCATCACTAAATAGTGAGTTCAAGATGAACCTAGACTACATGGGACCTTGACAAAGGAAGAGAGAGGAAAGGAGGGAGGGAGAGAGGGAGGAGAGAAAGAGAACTATGATCTATGCTAGACAGGGAATGACAGTGGGAAGGCTGCACAGGGTCCTTCCTGAGGAGCTTCCTTGTCTCTGAAAAGAGAGACATCCCTTCTGTTGCTAGCTGCCTGGAGTCCCAGTTGTCACCTCATATCCAAAGGATGCTTGCTTGAGGATCAGGGCAGGAGGAAGGAATGGCCTCATTAAGCAGGAAAATCACCAGCCTCAGAACTGGCTCTACCTCTGATTAGTTACGTAATTATTTCCTTCTAGCAATTAAGCCATTTGAAATCTTGTTTTATTGTGACTTACAATAAAAATCATTTATACCGATTCCTACGAAAAGCACAGTGTAAGACAAATAAAGCTTACTGAAACAACTCACAATCACCCCCTTATAAAATGCAAAAGCCAACAACTTATGCTTTAAAGGGAAGTGTCAAATTTAGGATGTGATTTCACCAATACAGAGGGGTGAAAATACAAACTATTTAAAGGCTTGGCTGAAAATGAATTTTCTCTTGCTCTTGAGGAGACATCAGTTTTTAATATATGTATATTTAGGGTGCCTGTGGCCCTATTAGTCCCATTTTTCCACAGCCCTAAAATTTGCTTACAGGACTCTTTTGATCAATCCTGGTGAACTCAATCACGATGTTGTTTTAGGAATTCAATACAACATAGACAAAAACCATTTCCATTTAGGAGGAACAGGACTTTGAAATTGCCTTTTCTTGGTGTTGTCCTAAATCCTCACTAAGCCCTGACAAGGAATACAACAAAGCTCAGAAAAGTCTGTCCAATTAATAAAAATGTGGTTCGAAAACTAGGCTTCCAATTTTGACGGAGTATAGAATTAAGAAATATATACAAATGCAAACTGAAAACACTAGAAAGCAGAGCTATGAATATCAGCATCAAGGTACATCACTCACTGTGTTGGAGGGCTGCCAAAATTAATGATGACTTTTTTTTTTTTTTTTTTTTTGGCTCCTGGCTTATGAGAATCACCATGAGACCTACATTCATGTCTAAAGCAAACACAAGGAACTTATTACTAATGTTAGTAACTCCAGGGGCCCTTCATCAAGCAGTAAAGCTCTTGTCCAAAGCTGATTCCTTTATACTGTTATGGACTGATTAACTTGTTTAACTTGCTTTACATAAACTCAATCCAGCTCTATCAGCAGATGGGGTGGTCCATGACTATTTGATAACAGTAATTACGGGTGCACAGGCTATTATAGCATCCAGGTAACACGATCAAGTCCACTAGCTACTTTATTTTAGTGATAAAGCAGGGTATCAGGAGAGTCACACCTTTTATAGCAGAGCTTTGCTTTAGGAGCACACCAAATCCAAGCAAAAATAGAAGGTACAACATTAACCTTTATAACTTGTATGTATTGGAAATTTATGTAACATCTATGCATGCTATTCTGCTTCATTTGTTTCATTTTAATCATAATACCACATGAGAGATGCTGAGGTCCTATTTTTCCGAATCTAGGATACCATATGATGAGCCAACCTTTTATATATCCATAAGAAAACATTTCAACCAACTAGTGTTATGATAACCCGTTTTGGAAGATGCAATCTAAATTCAAAGAAGTCTAACTGTGGGGGAAGCTACACAACTGACAAGGAGATTTGTCTGAGGTACAGCTCCACTCCAGCCTGAAGTCTCCCTTGCTGAGCTCAGCCTGTGCTGTGTCACACCTGTGCACAATGGGTGCAGTCCCTGCCAGGACCAGCCGTGAAGACTCATGAGCTCTCCCTTCATCTACTCCAGCATCTTCTCTGCTCTTTGTGCTGATGCCCAGGTTGATTCTGGAACTGTCTAATGAATATGGCAGAGCCTCTGTCCAAACCTAGTTCCTGAACAACTCCACACAGCACAGCCCCAACCCTGAATCATGTGTTGAGCCAATTGAGAATGACACTTTTTACTTTGGTGTGAGCAATAAATGTACTTATTTACTTATTTTATTTTGATGCTCCATATACGCCAAATTGCTCTGGCTAGGACAGAATGATAATCTAAGTGCCATTTTCTAAATCCTGGGCTTATTTTGTTATACCAGGCAAACCTAAAACTCTAAACTTAACCCTCTCTTCAAATTTTAAACACATGAATTAAAAAAAAATTGCTACTCATTTCATTTTACAAAAGGATTTCATCACTTGTTTTCAATGAATAAGCAGTAATGAAAAGATCGGTATAGTTTATGGGTAAAGTATGGATAAGGACAATGAAAGCTGTGTGTATGGCACATTCTCGAGGTAGTAGACATAATGATGGAATGATTTCCAGAGTGGATCTCAGCATCCACATATTGCACTTCCTCTGTCCAGTTTGAGTTATGCGCAGTTTGCATTGCAACAAAGAAGATCCAGGAGGCTGTACTAGTTCTGGCCTGTTGTTTGAGTTTTGTCAATAAGAACGGCTTTGTTTCCTGAGGGGCCTAAGCAAAGGAAAGGGAGGGAAAGCATGGGTGCCAATGGATGCAAAAGAGGAAAAGATGGCGACAGAAGACACAAGGTTCACAAGGTCTGGATTCAAGAGAGAAGCTGAACTTGTCCCCACCTTGACCAGCAGCTGCAGCCTTGGGTGATCATCTGGCTTTTCTGATGTCAGCTCTCAGTCACATATGGTATGGTGACAGAGCCCAGCTCAGGTGTGGCAGGAGTTAAATGAGAAAAGAACAAAGTGCAAGCAGAATGCACCCCTGGCAGCAGAGCGAGCTCTCACACACACAGATTGCTAGCTGTTATTGCACTTGTCACTAATTATCAGCCTCCTTTCCCAGCCAGGTGCAAGCTGCCTGCCCGCCTGGTGTACCTCAGTGTAAATCTCCTCTACACAACAGAAAACTCCTTAAAGGAAAATCTCCCTTCAGTTTGAAACCACCGAGGAAGAACATGAGTAGGTTTTCCAATCCAACAAAACTCCCTACTAACATGTCTTGAAGGAGTGTGGACTGAGCAAACAAGGAAGGGATGTCTGGTTCACCATCCTCCAGTCAGTTCCACCCAATTGCTTACCTGAAAACAACACGCCTTTTCTCATTGCACAATATAAAAGAGAATGAACGAAATTAAAATAGAGGAAAGATCTTACCCTTTGTTTTTCATTTGTTCCTTTTTTATTGTTCTCCTTTTTAGTTTCATCTTCGTATACAAGAACAAAGTCGATCCGTCTCTGGCCGTCGGTAAAAAAGAGGGAGTCAGGCTTCCCATTAAATTCTTCCTGTGAGGAATAGGGGAAACGCAGTATTGTGAGTTTTCAGAAAGGCATTGATTGGCAAGTGTGTCTCTTCTAGTTTTTGTGAGTTCACGAAACACAGTCATTCGTAGTTACTGATCGCTACAGCATTATCTGTTTTTGGTGAGAGGGAGCCTGTGACTTGAGGAGCAGGAGATTCACTTAGAATACTTGGGAATGGTCAGTACCACATTCAGGACACAATTTCCCCGAGTCTACCTGGCTGGACAGCAGAGGGAGTCAGGATTGGACAGGAACTCACTAATAATGACTTGCTGGTTATGGACTGAATTTTTTTTTATTTTTTTTTTACCAAAAAGAAAACTATGAGATCTAATACTATTGATGGAAGCCTCACCATTTGTCTCTTACTTCCTTGCTTCTAATTTGTTTTCGTGACATCCCTCCAGATGTCATCACTTCTCTAAGGTATTATTTTAAACAAATGCCAAAAACAGCTGCCATGTACACAAAGCCATATTAGTCATCAGGATTTGTCTGTAGAACCACAAGCAGTGCTCTCTGACCCATAGGAAGCAAAATTTAAAACTTACAAATACTGATAGTAACAAATTGAATGAGTCTTCAATTAAGAGCTTAAACGTTTATAGCCTAACTGTATATGGTGGTTCAAGCTACTACACCCCCAGCACCAGGGTGACTGAGGCAGGCCAGCCTGGGCTACAATGTTACACCACCATCTCTCAAAAAGAAGGGTGGGTGGGTGGGGATAATGAATATGACAACAAAGTAACATATTACAGCAGAAGATGGGCCTAATATGATCATTATCACTCTGTCCCCCCTCTCCACACACACACACACACACACACACACACACACACACACACACACACGGTTGGTTTAGTCTACTGTGAGGAATACTATAAAAAGTGCTATGTTAACTCCATTGTTTAAGAACCACACTGCTTTTTAACTGGTAAGTGATAGTTTAAAATTTCCCCCATTAAAAACAAATGGGGGTTTGTGTTTCGCAATCATTTGATGGAGCGACTTGCATGATATGTTCATTATACTGATTAATTCTCTTGTGCAGTCAAGCATCAATTAGCACAGAGAATCATGTGAGTCTGCCACCACCCCGCCTCATTTCCTTCACACTTCTGAGAAGATGTAATCTTTGCAACCCATAAAACCTCTATGTGTTCTTCCTTTCCTCTCCCAACAGGGGCCTGTGAAGTCTTCTCAACTGTCACTTTCCACTCATCAAGCTACCCCACCTGCAGAAGCTGCCTCCATCCCCACATCCTACTCAGCCAGTGGCTCTCAACCTTCCTAATGCCGAGATCCTCTAATACAGTTCTTTATGTTGTGGTGACCCCCAACCATAAAATCATTTTCATTGCTATGTCATAACTGTCATTTTGCTACTGTTAAGAATTGTAATGCAAATTTCTGTGTTTTCCAATGCTCTTAGGTGACCCCCATGATAGGGTTTTTTGACACACACACACCCCCACCCCAAAGGGGCCATGACTCACAGGCTGAGAATCTCTTCACTAAGGGCTGCCATGAACAGTATGGCTCTGCCTAGGGAGTGATCTTATCCAGGGCACAAAATGTCCTGGGAAACAAGACACATCTCTCACTTAGACTGATGTTACTGCCCCCCCTTTTTTATTTATTTTCCATTCCAGTTATTTAAACTAACAAACCTTAAAAGTAAAGATATATAAACATGCTAAGTCCTGTGCTTTCAGTTTCACCTACAGGGCTTTTTAGGTGTCTTTGTGTCTACTCTTTGTTGAGGGTTTTACTATGGGTGATGACCAGGGCAGCCTTCAGGGGAAAGGTCCCGTGCAGGAGAAAACCAGGAACGGTTTCTCAGAATGGCAATGAGAAGCTGGTAGTGTGCATCAGGAAAGCCTGTTGATCACTGCAGACATCTGAGACTTTTGGGAGCCTTCGGAGGAGCTGAACCGCTTGAAGGGCTGAAGAACCAGGCCTGGAGAGGGGCAGCACCATAATACAAGCCACACACGCTAGCCAGGCATTGCCCCTGCACAGCAGCACAGGCTGGCAGCTACCTCCTAAGTCGGCCAGTGACACAAAAACCTCTTGTGTGGACTACAGGGCCATGGTTCTTTGTTTGTACAAAGAACACAAGGAGTTGGCAACAACTGGCTATGTGAAGTTAATGGTGAGAGTCTGACATGGAACTGTTAGGTTTAGGCGCCAGAGAAAAGGGCGCCAACCTTTTTCTGTTGGAAAATCCAGACGTCTCACCTCTTGGCAGAAGGCATACTACTGGGCAGCTGGGAGGAAGGAACAAGACTAAATTAAAAAAAAAAAAAAAAAAAAAAAAGTTGATCTATGAATAGAACCATTTTGTTTTGGGGAACAACAAAAAGGTTGGACTTCTCAATGCAAATTTCACTGATAGGCCTAATTCATATAGCAGCCCGTTAAAATGACAGGCAACCTAAAAAGTTCATTTCCCAAAGTTTTCCTTTATGTAGAGAAGGAATTTTTTAATAGTTTTTCAAAACAAACTTTGAGCATCTTTTAAGTGACTGAAAATTCAGAGAGAGACCATTCATCCCTGGCCACTGTGTCCTCTGTTGGCATCAACTGGATTCTGGGGTTTAGTCCTTTTGTCTGTGATACAAAAATGAACAGACAAAAAGAGTCAAAAATTGTGGAGCCCAGTGATTCCTGTTAAGCAACTTAAGTTTAAAAAGACTTAAAGAAAAGGCTTACAGTTCAGTAGGTAAACTTGTTTTAGAGCTAAGAGCGTATGCAGCTACTGACTTTCTCACTGGGAAATTTAATTCTTATGCTCATCAAGGTGACTTCCTAACTTTTACCCTGAGAGTCTTAGGTAAACGCTTTCAGTGTCAAGGCAATAAATATCCTTTTTAGCTTATATGATTCACCCTCCTTCTTGGGAAAAATGTCCAGCAACTTCCTAGTTACAGTGTCATGTCTATAATATACTCCATCTTTTTGTATCTCTCCCAACCTGGTCCTGAGGACAAAAGATTCCCATGAATCCACTGTGCAGCCTCCACTGGAAACCTGAGCCAATGATTCACCTTTGATAAGAGGTCAAAGCTTGGCTTATATTTGTCACTGCATCAAAATAAGACAAAACACTGTGTCACTCACTGCTGAAGAGTGGCTGGATCCCAGTGTGTTTCAGCTTTGACAAATTATACTTGGGACAGAGAGGAGATGTGCTTGATATGACTTCTAGGGCATCTTACAATCAACATTTGGGTAAGCAGGCTACCAGTGACAGTAGAGAGGAAGGCCAGTGACAGTAGAGAAAGGCCAGTGACAGTAGAGAGGAAGGGCCAGCAGTGCTCAGCCACATGGCATTTCCTCTCAATCTGGCCTCTCTCACTCTATTTGCTCCTTCAATGATGTAACCGAAAAGGCAGTGTCTTAGTCAAATCAGAACAAAAAGAATTGCATGCCACTATGGGCCAGCCTTTATGGCTCAATGGATAAGGGTATTGTTACCTGGGTTCAACCCCTGGAACTCACATGGTGGAACGAGAAAGCTGACCCTTGGTGGTTTGGCTTATGAATGGAAGCCATCAGGCATGTGTTGTACACACATGCATGTAAGTATATAAAATGTAAAGGAAAAGGACCAAATGTTGGTAGCAAAATTACATTGTCCACGGATTGTAAGATCGCAAGTTCCCATAGCTTCTTCATGCATACTTCATTTGGGATGAGCCTTCCCGAGTCCTCGCTTCACCCCCTTGCTCCCACTATTCCCCTTTGCAATTTTCACTTCATCTATATTATACCCCCTCCTATGCACCCCTCCCCTAGAATGGCCCATTCCTAGTACTCGACGTTAAACACACAATCTCTGAAGCTAGGATTCACATACAGGAAAGGACATGCCACTTCTGTCTTTGGGAGCCTGGGTGACCTCACTCAGTATATTTTTTTTCCCCAGTTTCATCCATTTACGTGCATATTTATTTTTCTTTGTATATAGACCACATATCTATTTGTTAGTTGACAGACCTTTGGGTTGTTTCCATTTCTTTGATAATATGAATTGAGCCTCAAAGAACATGGAGGTACAAATGCCTCTGTAGCAGAGGTATTTAGAATTCTTTATGCCTGGGAGTGACATGAAGAAGATCTGTGATTTCCAGGGATGCTGAACACTTTTTTTAAAAAGTGTTTGCAACCATTTGTATTTTACCATTTGAGAAATCTCTATTTGGTTCCATCACCCACAGGACTGTTTTCTTCATGTTTAGCTTTTTTTATTTTTAATTCTATGTAAATTCTAGACACTAATCCTCTGTCGATGTGTATCTGGCAAAGATCTTACCCAGTCTTGGGTTGTCTCTTCCCTTAACTGACTGTTTTCTTTGCATGTCACAGGCAGGATGTGCCTGCCACTGGGGGAATAATGGCAGGAAAGTTATGGGGGTAGCCAACTGACTGGATCTCTTGACTGGATTTGAGGCCTGCTCCACAAGAGGTAATCCATACCTAGCACTATAAATATGACAAACAAACCATGGCTAGGGAAGCCAAAGGACACAGAAGAGAACCTATTGAGGCTATTTTGCTAAATGGTCATGCCTTTTAGCAAATTGTCTTCTAAATATTTATGTTTTGATATGGGTATCAGATTCATGAACTCATTGCAACTGTGGTTACCTGCTTCATAACTGTACAAGACAAAGCCAGCCAAAATCCTGACACAGATTGTGGAGGTGTTTTCTTCGAAGGAGCTATCGGCAGTTGATACTCTACAGGAGGAAGAATCATTCCATTTGGAAGGTGTTCCCTTCAGTAGACACAGTGCATGGCCTCACATCCATGCACACATGGGCAATACTAATTGAAGCTGGGAGGGGACCATGGTGGCTTAAATGAGGATGCTCCCCATAGGCTCATATTTGTGAATGTGTGGTTCCCAGTTAGTGGAACTGTTCCGGAAAGATTAGGAGGGGTGGTCTTGTTGGAGGAGGTGTGGCACTGTG